CTGTTGAGATGGTTTAGAAATTCTTCCAGTTTTTCTTCGCCGTGATTCTAAATTGCGAAGACTGTCGGCGCGATGTATATTTGGGTGGATGCTGTTGAGATGGTTTGCTCCATGTAGAAGTTTGCTATAACTAGGCTGAGGTGTCTCCCCTTGGCCACTCCATATGTCTGTTCATAGAACTCATTATCCTGACCAGTAGCTGGTCGTTAGACAGTGTTGGAAAAGGGCCTTGATGTCTTCTGGAAAGATCTGCTGGAAGAGTGTCAAGGTGTCCTTTATCGGTACCTTGGTGAATAGGGATACTATGTCAAAGCTGATCCGTCTGTAACCCGGGGTTGAGTTTTAGGGTGCTGATCTTGCTTACGAAACGTCCTGAGTCTTTGATGTAGGATGAGGTTTGTCCAGTGTGGGTCTGTAGGAGAGTGGCTAGGTATTTTGCTAATACATATGTCGGGGAGCCGATGGCACTTACAATGGGCCTGAATGGGATTGAGTCCATGTGGATTTTGGGGAGTCCATATCGTCTTGGCGGGAGAGCTTCTGTCTTGCAGATTTAAGGAATGTTAAACATGGGAGTCCTCTCCAGCGAAGGAGGTGATTAGCCTACATTGCCGTGAAATTGCCATGTTGCTGAGGATGCAGCTAATTGAGTAGTGGGGGGGGGAGTTCCCGAGTTGAAAAGCAACTCATTAACCTAGCAAAAAGAAAAGAGATCGCATAATATGAAAGATCTGAAAAGGAAGCAACAGCCGAGAGGGTTTTGGAGACTTGCTCGTTGCCAATTTCTTTCATATCTTTTCTGGACAGGTTTTCACAGTTCTGCTCGCCATGGTGAGCCTTCTGTCACCTCCTGGTGAGTCGCAGACAGAAGGCTTTTTTTCTCCAGTTTGGATTTAAAATGAGGTCAAAAACCCCTGGTCTTATACTTGAGTGAGGTTGCAATCCAGCGGTGAGAAAAGATTATGTTTGATTACACTAGAAAGGGTCATGCGCCTGGGAGCATCTCCCTTAAACCAACCCATCTGTTCAGGAATCATTCTAGCTCAGCCCAAAAAACATACATCTTGGGCATGGACTAGGATCGGTCTTGAGCAGTGGTTCTCAAACCGGGGTCCCAAATGTTCTTGGATTGCAGTTCCCAGAAGCCTTTACCACTTGCTGTGCTAGCCGGGGTTTCTGGGAGTTGCAGTCCAAGAACATCTGGGGTCATTTGAGAACCACTGCTCTAGAGTATGATTACCTTTGGGTTCTGGGGATGTTAGGAGATTGCTGGCACCCAACCATGCCACAAGGAGTCCGAAATCCAAGTTGTTTGCCCATCCAATGGCACCCTTAATCATATCAAAGGAGGGAGGGAATAAGAGCAGGTGAACCAACAGGTAGACCATTCCTGGGAGGTGTAGACCAACAGCATGACTTCCAAAATCGGGACTTTCCCATCTGTGGTCATTCCCATATTGGATCCCCAGATTTTCTTGGACTACAACACCCAGAAGCTTTTACCACTAGCTGTGCTGGCCAGGATTTCTGGGAGCTGTTAAGCAAGGTAGCTTAAAGGGTTTCCACCATTTCCACCCCATTGGTTGTCCACCCAGGCACACAATTCAGGTTTCTCACGGGGAAGTAAGAGTGCATTTGGAACCCTCGGGGAGTGGTTAGGTGCGCTCTGTTTCATGGTGACCACACAACACCTGGGGAAATGTGCTCCGTAAATGACACCTTCCCTCTCAGAAATCCCCGTCTAGGGGAAGATTTTTAATTATTCATTTCCAGATTAAAATGGCTAACAATAAGCAACCAGCATAACAACCACAACAGTCTCCGGTTTGCAATCAGCTGAGGTGTTGTTCCTCTGGAGGGATGCCTCTGAAATTACCTGTACCTGTGAAATTCCAGAAATTTGGCACACCCAAAGTTGTGCCATTATGCCATTGTCAGCATTGCAGTTTCTGTGTTTATGGTTTGGGTAACTCAACCTTCAGTTTTCATAGAAACAAACTGAACTGCCAAATCATTTTACTGAGTGGCAGGAAAACAGGTTGGAAAGAACAAGAGATGAAAAGTCACAGCCCAAAGTCTGACATATGACCTGCCATCAGCAAAGGCCATCTTTGTAAATGTTGTGTGGGAAGGCAGTGTTGTTATTGGGTAGATGTCAGCCAGGAACTGGGGGGCTTCTCTGGCTCCATCACAGCTCAGAATCTTAGACTGGATGCTTCCTCAAACTGGCAAAGGGAAAGTCTGGGGATAGTGTGCAGGAAGGCAGCAGGTTGGTTGGTTGGTTGGTTGGTTGGTTGGTTGGTTGGTTGGTTGGTTGGTTGGTTGGTTGGTTGGTTGGTAAAACAGACAAAAGAGAAAGAGAAAATGGTCTCAATAACTCACTCCGAGACACTTGTAGGAAAAAGTATTAAATGTTTCATTACTTCCAATAGTAAAACAGATCAACAGCAAACAAGTAAACAGACTGACTGCTTCCAACAGACTAGAGAGAGAGAAAGAGCAGCACAGAGCAGAGAGGCAGGGCTCTTCTTGAATTCAGAGGCAGGGAACAACTATTGCTAGATAGATTGACAATCACCCGAGCCTAGAAAGGTCCCAGCCAGCTGCACCAACTAGAGACAGCATGCATGGTTGCAAAAACTCCAACAGTGGATACCCTTAAAGGTTGTTTCTAGAGCAAAGCAAAAGCATCACTACTGTTCTTTAACCTTACAGAGGAGATAGATTGGGATATTTTTTGGGGGGGGGTTATTAAGACCAAGTGGTCTGCCAGTATTCACCCTAACCTTCCCAGTTCTTAAAGTGAAACAGCTCAAGGAAAAATGAACAGCTGACGGAGCTGCCCCTTGGGTTTAGTGAAGCATATGTTGGGTTTGCTCTGAGCTTCCCACTTTCTCCTTTAATGAATTTATTCCACTGACGATCCACCCATGCTCGCTCATTAGAGAGGGGCTTGTCGACCTCAGAAGCAAAACCATGGCCCTCCTACGGCCCAAGAAGAAGGGGTAAAAAGACAGCAGAAAAGCTTAGCCAGAAAGGATGTATTCCTTAGAGAGTGAGGTGGTGGTGGGGGGAACGTCTGCTCCATATGCGTTCTTCTAATTAACGGGCATTGTTCCTAGCTAGGTTTGGAAATAATTGGAAGCACTCGTACAAGGATGGGAAATTTGCCAGATGAAGAGGGAGGAAAACTGCTTTTGTGGCAGGAAGATAGAGCGAGTCCTTTCTTCCTTCACTTCAAGCTAAGGAGCTTGAAAAGGTTGACAGAATTCTTGTTCACTTGATCGGACTACACCGGGGTACCCAACCTTGGGTCACCCAGATGTTCTTGGAGTACAACTCCCAGAAATCCTGGCTGGCCCAACTTGTGGTGAAAAAGCTTCTGGGGAATTTTAGTCCACGCTGCCTTGTGGGCTTTTGAAAGAGAAAAGCAGGGCAAAAACGTCTGAGATAAATAAATAAATAATGGAATAAGACTGTTAGGGGGATAGACCAATGATGGGAAAGGAGGTCTGCGGACACCACCTGGAGAGGAAAAGACAGGAACACAGTATTGTGCACTTCCTGTGCTGTTTGATCTGTTCCAATAGCTATTATTTAACTCTCAGATTTTATGATGCTTTTTGCTGCTTTTTCAACTGTCTTGCCTTGATGAGTAAGATGTTCATGTAGGCTCAGATCCATCAGATCCTAGAAGTTGGTTGGTTGGTTGGTTGGTTGGTTGGTTGGTTGGTTGGTTGGTTGGTTGGTTGGTTAGTTGGTTGGTTGGTTGGTTGGTTGGTTAGTTGGTTGGTTGGTTGGTTGGTTGGTTAGTTGGTTGGTTGGTTGGTTGGTTGGTTAGTTGGTTGGTTGGTTGGTTGGTTTTGGATTGGTTGGTTTGGTTTGGTTGGTTTGGTTTTGGGGTTTTGGGGTTTTGGGGTTTTGGGGTTTTAGGTTTTAGGCTGGAGACTGGGACAACCTCCTAGGGTTGTTGTCAGGATAAGAAGAGGGAAGGAGATACCCAGAGATCAGCTGGAGCTCCTCGGAAAGGAGGCAAGCCGAGTGGGCTAGTGGCTCCCATGCAAGTAGGGCAGGGAACCCGTTCTGGGTTTTAGCTGGAACTTTAAAAGAGCTGCCCAGAGTGCGGCGTATAGTTCTGCTAACCCACAACATAAGGTAAGGGAAGTGCTGATTTATTAGAGGCAGGGAGCTTGTGACATGCATGGGAGTGTGCATCTACATACAGCTGGTCATTCTGAATTGGTAGAGTCTGCTCACGATCCTAGTGTCTCATTCTGCAGGAGGGGTCCATTGGCTCTTAATGCGGATACGTGGGAGTTGTGTGATAGCTTTACAGCTCAGCTCAGCAAAATAACAAAATGTCACCCAGGTTGGCACAACAAGCCCATTTAACACTGGCTGAGCAGCGGGAAGCATGGCTCCAGGGTTACCTTCTCCTTTTCCTTTGAAGGATGAAAGCTTTTCTCTCTCTCTGCCACCCTTTCCTCTTTTTCTTTTTCCCAACAAACGTATATAGCTGGGCATCCAAAACAGCGGGAAACCTGGAAAGGGAAAATGGGGGGGCGGGGGCGACATTAAACCAAGCAATTTGAAAATTAAGCATTTTCATTAAGGCTTTCCCTTTTTTTAAAAAAAAAAAGTTACAAAGCCTTGGGCTATCCGAGTGCTTTATTTGAACTGCACCCTGGTGGGAAATGGATTTTTTTAAAAAAATTCAGTTTCAGAGTGGGAAATGTTATTAATGAACCATACATACCGTGATATGTGTCCCTATGTATGAGCAAGAGGAGAGATCCACAAAATATTCAGTTTTAAATAAGCAGAGATTGCGGCAAAATAATACAAGGGTGTGTGTGTTTTTCCCAGCAATACAGATTTATATCTAAATAAATGGTGTCAAACGGATCCGGAACGATGAAGGAATAAGAGAAAACATGCTTCAGTGCAGGAGCCAGGATCTGTATCGAAGGCGTTCTCAAAGGCCACCTTTCCGTGTGGGCATGGCCGAAGTCAAGGGGGAGATGCGGCACTTTGTGGCAGTTTGTCTATTGGCCGAGCAGGAGTTCGGCCCTTTAAAGTCCCGCCTCCTCCAGCAGGTGCACACTCAATGGCAGCATCTGGGGGAGGCGGGGCAGAGAACTCAAGCTGCTGCCTCTGATTGGGCACCTGCCAGAGCAGGTGGGCCTTTCAAGTGCCAAACATCAGTTTGGCCAATAAACAAACTGCCACAAACCGCCTAACCGGCAGTTCATGACCATTTCTAGCTTTAAACCTCTGGTGCCTCCAGAATTTCTGGACTTCAGCTCCAAAGATCCTTGACAAACTAGGTAAATCATTTATTTCCTTCTCCAAGGCAAGAATGACAAATTTGAAATGTTTTATCTCTACTTGGCAAAATTACCCTATTTTTCCGTGTATAAGACTATACTTTTGTCTAAAATCTTTAGACTGAGGGTCGCCTTATACATGGAAGTAACCTGAGGAAAGAACAAAAACAAGTGGAGGGGAAAGCAGGGATCAAAGCGATCCTGCAGGGCTTTGATCCCTGCTTTCCCCTCCACTTGCTAAGCCCCACTTAGATTTCTTAATTTTGGGTTAGAAAAGTGGGGGTGTCTTATATATGGGGGTGTCTTATACATGGAAAAATATGCTATGCATACGTTCAGGCAATTTTTGCTCATAAGCACCTTTTTTAGGGGGAAAAATTGCAGAACTGTTTCTGTAACAGAAACCTCACACTTCTTACAAAACACAGGCGTTTTCATGCAAAACGGAAGGATTTGGACGTGTGACTGTGTACTGACTTTGTAACTAAAAGGAACTAGCTACAAGCAGTTATTCACAGGTAACTCTAGCTAGTTACTCCCAAGCTCTGAAAGCAAACCTGTTCAACCTTCTGCGTGACAGCCCTTCAGAGAGTTAAAGACAGCTATTAAAGTGAACGGCGTTTACTTACAATAAATTAAGCACAGGACCGAGTTTCAGATGTCATCATTATTTCCCTGGAGGAGCTGTTTTCGAGCTTAAACCAGCTGTCGGCTCAGCACCAAACAGCACGGCAGGATCCTGCCCCAGCTGTGTTTGCCATCGTAAGCAACATAATGCGAGGTCTTGAAGAAAAGGGGAAAGAAAATAAATTCGGAACATTTCTGCCATGCCGGCAGTTCTGACTTCTTTCTTTTCTGAGCTTCAAAACAATAGTGGTGGGTTTTTCTGAAAACTTCTTAGCATTCAGCAATAACGCTGGAACATTTGGAAAGATTGTTCTTTTATACATTGCATCCATTTCATTTCTTGGGGGAAATTGGGAACTTTTCAAATTGGTAGATAATCATTGTGCATATCAAATAGTTTGCAGACATGGGGAAAAAACAGGTCTGTGCCACATTAGTGGGTGCATCAAACACAAAGGATTCTGGATCCAGACAGTGCTGTGAAGTGGGAAGAGTTCTGCATCCCAGGATGGAGGAAGACCAACATTCTGTCTAACTTGCCCAATATTGCGAGAAGAGAAATGACTTCCATGCTATCGCAAAGGCCAGGTTGGACTACTGTAATCCACCTGACCCGGAGCGGCCCTTGAAGACATCCCCAATGCAAACTCATGACCTGATTCATTTTGTTTCAGTCTAACAAGGCCTCCCAAAACTCTTCTTTATATATATCCCTTAGAGAAGGGATTTGAATCTAGGTCTGCATTGGATTGAAGTACAGAGGTTCTACTCATTAGACCACACTGTCTCTAGGGATGCGGAAAACATCTCTTCCACACCTGTGCATATTCCTGTTGCATCACATGATCATGTAACTGGAAGGATTATGCTCACAGCCTGAGTGGGAAGCTATGGTTTTCTCGGTGGGCTGTCGTAGGTGTGAACGGGTGCACAGTCAATGGTTGGCTAATTGTGAAGACTTGCACAACTGTTGCGGAATGTTTCACAACCAGCTTTTCCTTGCCGGATTTCAAAAGATGGACACTTTCACAGACTAGAGATGGTTGAATGTTCCCGATACGCTCCGCCGGCAGTCAAATTAGTCTCTGCAACAACATGCGCAAGATTCCTTAACGACCAGAGGACAAACGATTCCAGCTCTGTCATTGGGGTGAAAACCAAATTACAACCTGCCAAACTTTGGCAAGTCAATTGGCCAACGTTAGGTGGCATGTCGGAGACGATTTCTAAGGAGCCGTCAGGAACAAATTGAATGTCTAATTTCTGTCACAGCTACTTAGCTATGCAAAGGGATAAGTAATTGCCTTGTGAAGGATCTGATGGGGAACGGCCAGGCTGGCTTTTCGAGCATCCTAGCACAGTGGCTCCCAGCCTTGGGTCCCCAGACGTGCATGGACTCAAACTCCCAGAAGCCTACACTGCTGGCTGTGCTGGCCAGGATTTCTGGGAGTTGCAGTCCGTGAACATTGGGATCAACCAAGGTTGGGAAGCACTGTTCTAGCATGATGGAAGAGCCCTCTTACCGAGGGCTTAAGCGGTTGACTTTTTTTTAATGGAGTGGCTGCTTAACGGGATCAGGAGAGTGGAAGAAGCAAGTGGGTCAAAAAGAAGGGTTGCAAATGGAGGAGGTGGGGGAGGTGGTGCCCTGCAACTTCCCCAGCATCCTTCATGTAGACTGGGGGATGATGGAAGATGTAGTCCCAAATAAGAATGAAAAATGTCTTTCTATGCCCTGCCACTTTAGATTTATAATACAAAAATCCATTTGCATCCAAGCTGGGTTATCCTGGTTGCTGTTGCCATGCCCTAAAATTGACTTCAGAACGATGGGTTGTCCTGTCCCAACAGATCCGCGGGGTGTCACTGAGATCCGAGGCAGCCAGGGCTTCTGTTTTCACCTGACATTGATGGCTGACATTCATCATCCCAAACAGCGGCCTTAATGGGGGCATTGACTATATTAAAAGACCAGATCAATTGCAGCAGCTCGATAGTTCAATATGTCTTGGCTACCGATAAAGAAAGCGGATGGTTTCACGTCAGTCACCGCCGAAAGATCTGTCTCCTCCAGAGACGGAAAGTAGAAATATCGGTGCTTTTACCAAGAATGCCTTCAGCTTCCCAGAAGTGTACCTCTGTAGAAGGCATAGAATCTATGCCTTGATGTAAGCAGCCAGTGGTTGGTTATTCTGGGAACAACTGCCTCTGCCTGTTAAGGAAGAGTAATCCATTCTGCATTCTCCATCTCTCCTGAGAATTTGCATGGAAGCTGTCCTTGGTCCTGAAATGTCTTATTCCGAACCCTTTTCAGTCCAGCAATGTCCCTAGGGCTGTATAGCTGCCAACATCTGGTTTAGGCTGAGATTGACTCGGCCCAGATCAGGTAGTGAAGTTCAGGGTCAAGTGGGGCTTTGAACCTGGCTCTTTCCAGCCTTCTTCTGATACCTCAGCCCCACCACCACACACTTTCAACCGCACCGTCTCTTCCCCCTGGCTAGGCAGTTGAGTTGGCAATGGACCTCACCCTAACACAGCCAGGCTCCAATGGCATAAGCGCATGCCCAGATCTGTCAGACAATAACATCCATCACAACCCATGACTATGCTAGCTGAGGATGATGGGATGTAGAGTCCAGTGGATCCGCAGGGCGCCGCCTTGCAGGTTGAAAAATGCTACACCAAACTTCTTCCCTTATGCACCATACGCAGCCAGATCAAACTTTGGAAGTAACTTACTGTATTTGCAATAACAAGATGGCACCACCATGCCGCCATGAACACACTCAGTCTCATCTAGAGAGCTAGTTACTTGAAAATACATTACTATTTTCTCAGTAACTCTACATTAGCAAGAGATTGCTTCTGTGCTGTAATTGTGCCCCATGAGTTAATGTTCTAGTTCACATTGTGGGATGCTCACAATTTTTGGACAACCCCCAAAAGCCCCGATCATCGGCTATGCTACCTTGCGCTTCTGGGAATTTGTAGTCTAAGAACAAAATTCAGGGAGTGAAGACAGAGGCTATAAAATACTCTAACTTCCAGATGTTAAAATGTTCTTTGATAGGTATATTCTCAAACCAAATTCATTTCTTGCAGGATCCATGCTCTCTAAAGCATTACATGTTCATGTTTCTTTTTTTTCTTTTTTTTCATCCCAAGTGGGAGCAACTCAGCTGAGCCTCTTTCCTCACTTCCCTCCTCCAACAGTAAGGAAGAAAATTAAAGGTGGAGGGGGTACTCCTGAGACTTACCCATCCGCTTGCACTGTAATCAAAGGTGTTTTCATAGCCGGGTGGGAAAATTAAATGTCAGCGCCGGGATGCAGTGAAGGTCATTCGATTCCATTACTTAAAGTAATGTGCACAGATCCATTCTGACACTTCCATTTGTTAATGAGGAGCAGGGCCATTCAATCAGGAATCCTGACACATACATGTAAATGAGAGAAGGCAGTGAAGGTAGAAGCGGAGAGGCCTTGTGTTATATTTACTGATGGACACAAACCACCCAGTTTGGCGGTTCGGGTCGGTTCGTCCTTTGGACGAAAAGGTGTTAGGTGGTTCCCCTCCTCACCTCCTCTGATGAGCGCCCGTTCAGAGGCTGTGCTTGGAGGATATGGGGCAAAGGACGAACCAGCAGTTCCTGCCTGTCTCTAGTTATATTAAATGGACCTCTCTCTTCCCTCCCCTCCCTCTTTCTTTCCTTTTTACCAGGACTGGCTGACAAAATTTGGCTACCTTCCCCCTCCGGATCCTGTCACGGGACGGCTGCAAACCCAAGAAGAGTTGGCCAAAGCGATCATGGCGATGCAACAGTTTGGAGGTCTGGAAGCCACTGGGATTCTAGGTAAGGGGCGAATCATGGATGGGAGGAACACCAACTGTTTCAGACACCCATAGCAAGCAAAGTCTGGAGGCAGTGGGAAGATGTCTTGGCTTCAGATGACAAGCCCCATGTCCTTAGCTAGTTCTTGGGGGATGATGGAGCTTGTAGTCCAAAGCATCTGATGGACACTACCCTAGATTGGACACATTCGTTGTTTGGACCCTTTTTCTTTAACAAGATCCTGAGAAATGGACTGGCCAAATTTCATTTCTGGGGCAAAGCAAAAGGGATTCCAAAACACATCTCAGAATATATGGGAAAACAGGCAGGGGGAGAGCGGTCTTCCTGGGTCGGTGCCTCCATCACAGAACCTGGCTGAATCTCTCTCGAGGGTGGGGGTGGTCACTGGCCCCCCCTCCCCATGCATGAAACGTTCTGCCCGTCAAGATCCGGACGCCAAGGAACACGGCACCCCTTCCTTCAGCTCCCTTCAGGCGAGGACGGGCCCCTGTGTGTGTGTGCAAGAACCACACAGCTCCGCTTGCCACCTCCAAGAAGCAATTACATGGCTCAGGTGTTTCGTCGCCCTGTGCGGTCGACAACCCAAGGCAGGCAATTATTTTGCCAGCCTCACGCACTCCTGCGGAGGCCTTCGGTGTGTCTCGGAGAGATTTCTGTATTTGTCTTTTCCACTTCTCCTGTCTCTCACCCTCACCTGAGACCTGGAAATAGCTGGTGGGTCTTCCCCTTTCTTTCTTTCTTTCTTTCTTTCTTTCTTTCTTTCTTTCTTTCTTTCTTCCTTCCTTCCTTCCTTCCTTCCTTCCTTCCTTCCTTCCTTCCTTCCTTTCTCTCTCTCTCTCTCTCTCTCTCCCTCCTTTCTTTCTTTCTACCTACCTACCTACCTACCTATCTACCTACCTACCTACATACCATGACAGCCTTCTCACTAAAGACTCTAAGAAACTGGCCTTAAATAAAGCTGAAATCCTATCACCTCCGCCACATACACACACACACTGTAACTGAAATTCCCTGTTTTTGTGGAACTTGATGACAGCAAAGAGATCAGAAGTGTTCTTTGGAAAGAGGAGGGTCTCCATCTCCTTGAAAGGTTCATCATCCTTACAAGTTGGGGTTAGACCTTGAGTTGAGTCCCACCTACAAACGAAAGCCTCTTCCACCCTTCTTGTTGCCCTTTATCCTCTCTCTTCTTTTTATTTCTCTCTTGGACACTCGAGGCTTGTAATCAAGGTTCTGCTTAATTGCTGGCTTCATAGGAGAGGGGGAGGGGAAGGGAGGGACCGAATTGAAAGAGGTGTCCAGCAAGAGAATTGGGGGGGAGCTCAGCTGCCATCTGTACCAGCTGTAAAGCAGTGTAAATGGGGTTTTCGGGTGCTCCAGATGTTGTTCAATTGCTCCGATGCTGTTCGGCTTCCGTCGCCCTTCACAATTAGCAACGTTGATCGAGGCTGTATGGGGCTTATAGTACAGCCACATCAAGAGGACTGCATCACCCCCGCCCACCCCATTCATGGTTCAGGTTGCCAAACAAGTTGAAATGTTCAAATCCCCTTGTCTCATGATCGAGCTTAGAGGAATTTTAATTCTGTCTTATTCTGGAAATGTAGACGAAGCCACGTTGAAATTGATGAAGACTCCCCGGTGCTCTCTACCAGATCTTTCTGAACTGAAAGCGAGGAGGAGGAAGAAGCGGCATGCTCAACCAGTGACCAAATGGAACAAAAGGAACTTATCTTGGAGGTAAGTAGTTAAACTACCTCCCCTGAAGGTGGACCCCAGTTCATAAAAGTCAGCCACGGCCACAACATACCATCCTGCTCATCACTTGTAAAAAGCCAGTGGCTTCCTTTAGTGAGTCAGAGCATCTCATATTGAGCCTTCCTCTTTTCCTACTGCCTTGCATCTTTCCCAGCACGATGGTCTTTTCCAGAGAATCTGGCCTTCTTGTGATGTGCCCAACATGGGGCAACCTCAACTTCAACATCTTTGCTTCCAGAAGTAATTCAGGCTTGATTTGATCTAGCAACCATTTTTAAAAAAATCTTTCTGGCCATCCAGCGCATGTGCAGCTCTCCTCCAGCACATACATACATACATACATACATACATACATACATACATACATACATACATACATAAATACATACATACATATATAGATACATACATACATACATACATAAATACATACATACATATATAGATACATACATACATACATACATAAATACATACATACATATATAGATACATACATACATACATACATACCCTGTTTCCCAGTTAAGTGAAACCATGCCCTCCACCCTCATGCTGCATTGTGCAGCAACCAGAAGATGATGACATGACTGCAAAATAAAACATCCCCTGAAAATAAGCCCTAATGGGTTTTTTGGAGCAAAAATTAATATAAGACCCTGTAATAAATATACGGAGTCCTCCCACTGCTGAAGAGGCTGATCTGAATTCAAGCAGGAAGGTGATAAATGCAGGACTGACATTTGATTTATTCCGTTGCCTGGAATTTTAACCACCATGTTCACCCGAGCCCTGTCTCCCTGGGGATAAGCTGTGGAGGAACTTTAGGGCACTGCGAAAACATCTCTCGCCTTGCGGGGAAACTCTGTGGGACTCACGGACGTAGCAACAGTGCCCTCTAGTGCTCCTAGTAAAATCTGGATTTTAGAGAAGAAGAGAGGGAAAAAAACTCATGGGTCACTGGAGTACAGAATGAAAAGAGACCCTTAATGCCGGATTCGGAGTCTCCTGATGCTGTTGGACATGACAGCAAAGGCTTATGAGAAGAACTTTCTGGTGTTCTTAACAGCTGTGATGGATTTGCAGTGGTGGACATGACAACATGGCTAGTCGAATGCCTCCTGCTTCTTAACCGCTCATATACTTCAGACTCCTTGCCTCTAGAGATTAGAATTTTTTTTATTCCTTCAAAAACAAATCTCCATCATTCTCTATTCTATGGGTTTGTCAACCGTGATGGTTCCAAAATGATGGATTCCAGTTACAAGGAAGGAAATGTTGACTAAATGTTAGGAGGAACTTCCTGACCGCAGGAGCTGTTCTGTTATGGAATGGACTACATGGAACGGTGGTCGACTCTCCTTTTTTAGAGACTTCAGAAGAGGTTGGGAGACCATCTGCCAGACATGCTTTAGCAGTAGATGCTCTCCTTCCAGATGGGTTTTGGACTCAGTGAAAATCAAAAGCCTAAAACGCCTAGCTGCCTTGTGTTCAGGGACTGTTCAATGGACAAGCACTGGATGGGTGATTTGTGTCCTTCTGAGTAATCAAGCAGCAACAAAGTAGCTTCCCAGTCTCTCCTTTTAGGTGGCACTGTGGAATGACGGTGCAGCTTGCTCGAGGCTGACAAGACATAACAACCTCCTGAGCCACATGCTCTTTGGATGAACTTCCTCAACCCTTTTTCCGAGGGGACAGCGGTGATTTGAATGCTTGCTCCCTGGCTCCACAGCCAGGCACTCCAACCCACTGAGGCACAACACTGCAGTGAGAATGATGAGAATCGTCTCTAAGCGTGCCCCAGCACATATAGTTTAGGCTGTATACTGATGGCCAGATGGACATCAAGAAGCATTTCTCCGCCTGGCATGACTCAATATGTCCAGCCATTCATGTTTTCTCCTTCCCTTCCGTTTTTAACTTCCTTTTCTGCTTCTCGCTCCAATATATTTGGGCATTTGCCTAAAATTGGACATGGGTCAATAGGACACAGAAACCTAATGAAGTTGATCCGGCAGGCACAGTGGGACCGAGGGAAAAGCATGGCCTGTCCCGTTATGCGTGGAGTCCGTGAGACATCCCATGCTAATGAGAAAAGCGAGTGACTAGTTTCACCTGCACTGTGCGATAACAGAGTGTCCACCCCATTCCACTCTTCCAGTGCGGTTTCATTAATTAGCACTCCTCACTTATGAATTTGTCCAAAGGGATGCGAGGGTGTTCCACAACTCCTCTCTTTGCCGCTGACCAAGATAACCGAATTCTCCGCCGTCGTATGTGCCGAAATAAAACGGAAGAAGTTTCCAGAAAAGTGTTTTCTCCTGGCTTTATCACGCCAGGACTCAACCGGCAGTGTTGACGATTACACAAGAGAGTCTCCGCGCTAATTGCCCTTCTTGTCAGCTGGCGGTTGTGATTTGTTCTTCGCTCGCACGCCAAAGAGTCTCTCCAGAGTCCAGTGTTGCTTCTCGGCTTGTTCGCCTTTGCTGGCTTCCCTGTCAAAATGTCCTCTTTTCCCCTCCCTCCTCTCCCTCTATCGGTCTGTCTTCAGGCTTCAAGGGCTCAGCAGGAGGCTGTTACTCTGTAGATAACAGCTGGGAGTGGTAATTGTGACCTTATCTTTCCCACCTGTTCCCCCATTGTAAACACACACACACACACACACACACACACTTCCCTTCCCCCCAAAAAAAATCCATCGTTGTATAACATATATGTAGAGTAAACTAACAGTGCTACAGAACGGTGCTTGACAGACTTATAATGGGTTCATTTGGTTTTCTTAACATGTTCTTATCAGACATACTGTAGTGACAGACAAGCAGACTTCTAACAGAAAGCACCTAGCAGATTACACAGACTATGTCTAAAAGAAAACAGATCTATCTACCTGACGGTAAACCCTTCAAACAATTATTGGCTAATGCCAGGCATAATCTAATAGGCTACATAAGTTCTAATATGTAAATTACACAATTCAATCATTCTGGGAATATGTAAATTACACAACTCAATCATTCTGGACATACAGACATGCTGGGTTGCACACATATATTCCAACAGAAAGAGAAAGAGAGTGATAAAGTGATACAGCGCTAGAGTGATAGAAAATGAGATTGATAGCGTGCTTGACAGTCAGATAGTTGACAGAGCTGTAGGCTTCTAAAGGGTTTCCAGAATTGTCTTCATCCACTGTATACCAAAGCATGAAATGGATGGATGGATGGATGGATGGATGGATGGATGGATGGATGGATGGATGGATGGATGGATGGATGGATGGATGGAT